GCCGCTTATTAAGCCCAATTTGGTCTGGGCCCGAGGCGGGCTTAATAACCGGTGAATAATCGGCTGAATAAACGCACCCAGGGTCAAGTACTATGTCAAAAGACAGTCGGAATAGCTCAGATATTCTTTGTGGTTTTCTAGATTTAAACAGTAAGATTAACACTGAACGATAGGTAAAAAAGGAGGTGAGGTAAAAATCAAGAAGAGGGTAGGCACACACTCGAGTTGCTTAGACTGGCAGTTGTGTGAATGCCGCAGAGGCGTGGCTGGCAATTTAAAAGCGAATAAAAACACGGTGACAGAGAACAAAGAGCGGAAGGAGTCAACCGGACATGGGGCTTCAATCGATGACTAAGCGGTACTAAGAGCACATGCTTCGACCAAGCCGGTCTACTAAAACACAGTCAGTAGCAAATGAAAACCCGCATATGCCAGTGACATGTTCAATGTCACAATGACATCACCGACAAAGACATGAGGAGACTGCACTGGCCATGTCGGCCATTGTTGCCGTCATTAGCCCGTTATACGGAACCCCACGGGTGGCGCCACCCGAAGTTCGAACCCGCAACCTCGTTTGCTTAGGAGTCCGACACTCTAAACACTGCGCCACAGACTCGTCGTCTGGCGCCTATCGCAACAAGATTTGCGTTTCCCTAATCCCCCACACCTCACCCCTGTTCGATGTTACCTCTGCCCTCGAACCCTCTAATACGACCATCCCAGTCCTCACTTTTCTGACGATCGTCTTGCTAAGATGACATATGCGCTGCCTGTTCTAGTTGCGGGCCCGCTTCCCAAAATTGTCATTGTACTAAAATTTTACGATGGATCCTGGTAGTGTTAGCTGCTTGACAGTTAACCGACGCAGCCCCGATGCCTTCTGAGAAGCCCCTCTTTCTTCCAAAGGCTCACCCTAACCCCGCTTTTGTTTGTGTTTCTTCTTCTGCCTTTCAGGAATCTGCAAAAGTTTCACTCAGAAATCAATCTGAAGGACAGTAGCATTCAGCGCTGCCGTCGCTTTATGGAACGAGTGACCACTGTGGGAATCCTGCTGGAGCAGATGAAAGAGGCGCCCAAGCTCTACGTCAAGTAAGCAGTTGACGTGCTTACATTCTGCGGCGTGTACTTAACTTTTTGGTGTCGATCCTTTAAGATTTCCACTATGAATATTAGCTTGCTTCGGGTTCTTTGAATTCTTCCATGGTGCACTTTGTCGAATTCAAATTTCTCATCATTCCGCTCACTTCAATCGTTTATTCATGACTTTTGATCCACTGGCGGGAGACTGTGGTTGGTGTATAATCTTATCCACAGCAAACAAAGCACAGTGTCCGCATTTGTGCGAATTTCGGCCCCAATTTGACCGTTGACCATTTGTCATTACAATCAAGGGAGCAGTTGACATCCTCCTCGTCCTCCTCCTCATCATCATCATCTAGCTCTAGGACTAGTTTGGAGCGCTTCAGTCTCCTTTGTCGGGACTCCTTCTTGCCCCCTTAGTGGTTGCTATGCGACTGCCTACCAGGGATCTAAACTGACCTCTAACCGACGCGACTGAACGAGTCCGCTCTGCGATCTGATCGCGGACGAATCGTTTCACGATACCCGTTGTTTCCAATTGAGGGCGGCAAGCCCTCAGTTGTGTTGAACTCGCCGTGCGACGGAATGACAAGCTTTCTCTGGTAGCCGCTCACGCAACCATGCCAGGGCACGGCCTCGATTTCGAATACTGTTAATAATGCGTCAGTCGGACGACCGACTCTCACGCCTCTTGCAGGAGGCATGGCACTCGCATGCGGATTCAATCAACAGGCATATCGATCTTCCTGATGCCTATCTCGCGTTGCGCTAAAACAATCGATAGCAGAGTTGAAGGTCATTCCCGGCAGATTTGAGCTAAATATACGGTGAGCTGCACATTTTTTATTCCTTGACAATGGGCTCGCGTGAGAGTTCGAAACGTCGGGCAAATAAAATACTGGTCCCGGAGAACGTCTTCCCGCCTTCTACTTGTATTTGTCACGGCTGCGATCAAGTCTATTATGCCCGGATGGTACTTTTCTTCGCATGAAGATTCGTGCCAGCAGACCTGGACAGTTCAGTCTATTCTTTCCGCTAACACCGGAGGCCGAGTACCGAAGGTCCATGAACCACTTCAATTTCCTGACGGACAAATTGAGCCAGGTTTTGAACTGACCCTCTATTCGACGTTTCCAATAAGGTAACGGTTTCAGGTCGAGGGCAGTAATACTGAGCTCGTGTGGTTGACGACGATATTAACTCGTCAATAAAAGCGAACATGCGAGTCCCAGGAAGTAATTGAGAAGAGGACGACTCGATCGCTGGGACAATACTTTTATTCACCTGACGTTTCGATATAGTCAGTATCCTATTAATACTGCAAACTCCTGTGCATGTATTACCCGTTTTTGCTACCCTTTTCTGCTAATTTCTCTGATGCTGAATCCACGACGGATGTCAAAACGTCAGGCGAATAGAGGTATTGTCCCAGTGATCGAGTCGTCTCCTTCGAGTGATTGAGTCGTCTCCTTCTCCTTTTCCATATTTTCTGCGATATCCTTGCAATGTTGTCGCATTGAGTGCGGACTGACCCATTTGAGACGAAGTCGGTGTAGTTTACTGGAAGGATGCTGCTCAAGCAGTAGTGGTCAAATATCTCCACGTTTCTTTTACCTTCCACACACATAGCCCAACATTCACAGCCGTAGAGAAGGCCAGACTACATTGATGTATAGGGCATGCAAACCTTCATGATAGTGGGGGTATCGCGTCTTGTTCATAGGCACTGGATGAGCTGCTTCGATTCGGGAGACCGTCTCATCCGTCCACTCCACGGCGACCTTGCTTGGACGTACTTGAAACCGTCCACTTCTTCAAGTTGACATCCACAGGTGCCTTCTCTTCGGGAAATGTGCGAAGACACGTTGGTCTTCCCAGCGTATATGGACAAACCGATCGATTTAGCGACTTCTTTTACCTTTGACATTATGGACTGTAGACCACCCAAGCCTGAAGCTAGTAAGGAGAAATCATTGACATTGTTCAGTCAGGCATTGTGGGGTTCAAGTCCCGGATTATTCCGATCCGGGTTGACGACGGCTGACAAACCCAGAGATGGCCATTCCAACCCCTCTTGATTTAACGCCGATGTCTCTCCTGCATCACTGCTTGCCCTTTAGTGTACCACCATCTCCCCTAAGCCTCCAGGTGACGTATATTAATTCGGAAACATCAGTAATTGTCACCCACAAGAGGATTTTTAGTATTATATTCACTGGCGAAAGCTCTTATTAGTGCAATTGGCTTTTCACCAGTGATTTGTGCCCATCTGATGCTTTGAGTTTGCTACTTTCTGTAATCGGTCCAAATGGACTGTTGTGCAGGTTTGATCTCTGTGTGCCGAGTTTATTTGCCGAGTCCTCCTATCCTAATTTGAGGCATC